AGCCTATGGTGAAAGTCAATGCCAAATCTTACAACTGTGTGCAAATTTATTATTCTAATTAGTGGTTGGTAATTAATTGGCAACAAACAACTTATTGAATGAATTTCACTCCCTCTTTGAATATAAATAATCTCTAATTTTTTTCTAATTCATCTTTTCAGAATTATTCATGGGTATGCAATATAGCCAGGGCCAATTTCCACATCAATACAAAGGCCAGCAGAACTCATCTCTCTGTGGAAGGAGAGCGTGAAGAACCATAGAAACAGGGCTCATTTTTCTTCAATTGCTTTACATTATATTAACCACATAAAAGAGCCCTGTAGATACACAATATTGTATTTGCACTGATTTTTGCAAAATTTTGTAGAGCTAGCTGGAGAGATAACTCAAAACACACAGAGTAGCTCTAAGGTAGATAAGAATCAGATTTCTGGTTTTTAAGTGAGTGCATTTACTGTGTAGATCATTCCTAAAGTAATAGAATCCTACAAATATTTAGGTTTGGTACTTGATGTAGCAAGATAAAAGTACAGCCAGATGGTTTGCAGGGTACTCTTTTTTTTTCCTCATCTTAATTTTACCTACTTCTTCTCTAATGGAACACTAGCAATCCAACTTCACGGTGACAAAAGGTGACTCTACTATTAATTATTTAAACTTTTAGAACACAAGGATAAAAGCTAGTTTCTAGGTTTTAAAAAAGTTAACAGGCTATATTGAAAGGGTTCTTGTAATTAACCTCAATGGTTACTCAATTGTTACAGTTACCAAAATCTAAAAACTTCCCCAAATTAAGTCAGTAATGGATAATGCAGAATTACTCAAAGATCACCATTGAAGAAAAGTCTATAAAGAAAGTAAAAACCCAGTAATCACTTGTAATATATAAGGTATGATGTGTGAACTTAGAGTTGCTCCATCGGGCCTCTTTACAAGGCCATATAAATAATTTAGGTTAAATGCTGCACCAGTGTTCTCCTCAGATCTTTAAATTTTTCTGAGAAATCCTCACTGTAAGTTGTCTCTCTGGAGATGTCTGGAAATACTATACCAGCCTGGAATTGCTGCCTCACTGCAGAACTTAGGGAAGTCACTTTGTAAAATCACAGACTAACTAAGCTTGCTGATTACATTATGTAAAGTCTAGGACAAACTTCTCATACACTAATTTTCTGTAGATTGGAATAGTTTTAGTAGGTCCCGTCCTATCCAACTTCCATCAGCTGAAGGGACACTAAGGCACTGTTCAAGCTGGTTTTGAGTTTTACTTCCTGCCTATTACATTGAATTGCTAAGATACAAGCCACTGAGTTCACAGAAGAAAACAGTAAAGGAATGTAATTTCCTGAGGGGAGGAACATGCAAAAAAGCTCCACAATCAGCTAGTTCATGACATTATAAAGCTGTTAATCGGCCTCTTTTCAGGCAAAGCTGAACATTATTGTCACAATACTTACCAATGAAAATGTCTGTTGGATTTGTGTTTATATAGTAACATTAATTCACACTAACAATGAATATTATTGCATTTGCAGTGTTGTTATAAGATAGCAAACCAAGGAAAGCTTTCAAAACCACTACGTCTGTTGAACCCTGTGATATTGGCTTATTCAGATTTAAGAAACTGTTATGGACTCAAATCAGACTTAATGAGTTTTGACCCAACTTAAGGACTCCACCAGACTTAGAAACAGGCAATTTTAGCCACTAGAAAATTTGGATATGAGGGATGGGTCAAAAAATAATCTGCTGACCCAGCTTTGTTAAAGAGATTTGTTCTTTTGTTCAGCATGTTACCTGATGATTTGTAACAAACCAGTGCCCAGACTAAAGCAGTGCTGAAGATGAAGAACTACATGACTCAATCTCTTTGCAAATGACAGCCTGGGTCTTGCAAGAAAGTGCAACAATTATAGTTTTCCTGAAAAATGAGGCAGCAGAGATGAGTGAGCTTAGCTTGGGAGAATCTATGACTTTTGACTTCCTTTAGCCCAAAGTAAGTGAAATATGCCTCATGGAACATTGTGTGACAAATCTACTCAGAACTTCCTTGCAGATTCTTCCAGGAGTTTAGACAGAGTGACTGAAGAATGTTGATAATATTGAAGGGATATTGCCATCAGGACACATTTAAATTGCAGGTTCCTGAGTACACACACAGTTCTCACTCCCATAATTAACAGGGTATGTTTCCTGCATTGCAGAGGAGAAAAGTGAACAAGGTAAGCAAAAGGAGAGAATGGGCTCAAGAGAGCTCACCCTGGTTCACTGCTTCCCAATGCTCAGGCTATACTTGTAATTGAAGGGGACAATATTCCTCATGTCCTTATAAGAATATGTTGCAAGAGAGAGACACCTGGCAGGGAGGGAGAACTACAAATGAAAGTGAAAAGGAGAAAAACAACTCTGGACATAATTTGGGGCCACAGGCAGTGAAAGTGCTCAGACACAATCACAAACAATGACTAATTTGGAGACTAACATGAGAGTCCATGAAAATAGCACTAGTGCCTTGTTGAACATTGTTTTTTTCTTCCTCCAAATCTGCCTTAATTTGTAGTTTAATAACAAACACTACAGCTCTCTGTGCCTTATTCAAAGGAGTTATGACATGCATTATGAGCAGTAGCATTAGCCTTTCACCTTCTACTATTTACTCATTTAAGGTCCTAACCCTACTGATTAAGTAAAGCCTGGATTACTTAATGAAGGGAGCAACAAGCATTCTACAGGGTGCTATGAGATCAGTATCACTCAGGAGACTAGAGAAATTTGGAGACCCTTGTTCACATCTATTACACAGCAGCTCCAGCTAAACTATCAAAAAAAAAAAGAAAGGTGAGAAAAGGATGCTAGCTTTTCTAAGATTCCCATCAGAATATTAACCCTTCAACAGACAAATTTAAAAGACTAAATTTGTGACATAATGTCACAAATACTGGAATGAGATGGCAAAAATACTTTAGGTGGTTTCATTCAAATAAGAAAGCAGTTGAAAATCAAACAAGTTCAATATTTGTGCACAGGTTTATATATTTTTGTAGAGGTCAGAACGTGGAAAAGGAAATTTATGCCATCAAACTTACACATCTGATACTAGAAGAACCAGACCAGATAACTTGCTCATAAATGGCTTAAAAATCACTCTAAAAATATTTAGAGGGCTCAAATATGTTCTATTAAATGTCTATTCTAGAATTGCAGTGGAAGTTCGCTTGAAAGTTTCTTATTTTTAATCTGAAATTTTTTTTAAGCCAGTTCATTCCCATTTGGTTTCATCTTTCCTTTTAGAAAAGATTTTATCTTTGAATGCATTTCTAGAAAGCAAACACATGTTCCCAGCTTCTAATTTGCAAGACTTGACAAGCAAAATTCTTCAGATTCCTTTTATGAAACTATATCTTTTCCAGATCCCTGCTTTGAATAGATTTGTAGTTCCTGTAAAATTAATTTTTTATTGAAAGACTTGATATCGTGCTTGATAGAAAACAAAGTCTAACAGCAATTTTGAGTGATATTAGTACAACATTATCTCCACCAGGGATCTCAAAATCTCATTTCATACAGCCTAGGACTGAGCTTCCTGCTTTCATCATCACATCTTACTGGCAAATGCAGTCACAGTCATCTCAATCAACCAGCATACATAGGTCCTTCTCCTAGTTTTTTTTTTTTCTATAGAATAAACTACAGGTTCTTGTAGACTTTCTCATCCCCAACTCCCAAATGCGTAACACTGAGATTTCAATTACTCCCTCCATTTTTTCAGTGCTTAAAGTTCACTTCCAATTGTCTAATTTCAAAAGTAGCCTTTGTCTAACCACTAGTTTTATGTATTTAATAGTAAATACCATGTATAGAATCACTGAACTTCCTTTGTTCAGAGGGCAGAGGATAAAGTAATTTTGTTTGCCCTAGAGAATGATAGATTATTTATTATTATGCATCTTTGGCTGGTTCATGTATTGGCATCTCATTTCCTGTTTTATTCCAAACTTTTAACTACTCCTTACTAGAAGGTCTTCCTTTTCCTTTCCAATCAAATCTTATTCTCACTTAGACACAAACATTTTATGTTGCTATTTCACACTTGGAGCCACTACAAAGTTTTTTTAGTAAGTTCAGGAGCCTAAATAGAGTAATTTTCCTGCCTCTTGTATATTGTGCTTTGCTTTTATCTCAGATCCATGTCCTTCTCTTTCCATTCACATTGCAGAGTTAAAGCTAGGTATTTAGTGTTCCTGGATGCTTTCATTTTCCTTTGGGCAGGTGTTGAACTTAAGAAAGCCAGGCTAACTAAAGGTTTAAATGCAAACAAAGCAGGTTCAATAATACAACAAACAGGAAAAGGCAAACTCACACTGTATTTCCATTTCAAGCCACCTCTCGTAACAGGCTATACTATCACTTTTTCCATCATGCTTTGCTCATGATGGCATTGTGCTTTATCATAAAACATTCAAGGTAAATTTTTTTTTTTTCACAAGATAGTCCAGTATTTTTCAACTGAAAATGGGAATTCTGAGCCACCTTTCTGTAAAGTGTATTTCTGTGGAACAGCTGAAATGTAATATGGCATCAGCTTCTGGGTGATAATCATGAATAACTGAGGATTGTAACATAAACTGTAAATGTGAACCACCAAATTAAAATGAAGAAATGTAGTTGCAATACTCCTTAAAACTGAAATTAAATTCCTCCTCTGTCTTCAGTGGACCTTGGATATGGCTTGAGTGTGTGGCACTCATGATTCTTTTCACAATGCTTATAGTAAATTCCCCAAGAGAAAGAATCAAGGGTAAAGAATTTTAAGAACAACATAACTCCACATTGGAATTGAGAACAGATGAGCAATTGACTGAAAATGAAATTAATGAAGAATGCTCTCGGGAACCTGATGGCTTTGCATCGTCTCAAAGTTAAAAACATCAGCGCCAGAATGTGGGGTTCCCTAGGATTCCAGGACTGAGCAGCTCTGGGATTCCACAGCCCTGGAGCCCAACCGCTCCAGGCGTGTCTCCAAGGCAACAAGAGAAGGTTGGTGTCAGGGAGGTGCTGCAGCACAGGTGCACCCACTGCTCAGAGGCACCTGCTGGTAAGGGACCTCCTGCCAGCCCCTCACCTTCACTCAAGGTCTCACCAACACCTCCAGGCCTCCAGCAACAGAGGGAGAGCCTGACAAACTCTCTCTTGTGAGCTGCAAAATTCATGTGAACAAGTGACAGTGTGCGAGTTCCCTAGCAGCAGCCACTTCACAGCACTTCACTGTTCCTTGGCTCCCAGCAGAGGGTCCTGCCGTATCCAGCCTGTCCTGAGTCCCCATGGCAGAGCAGCTGGGGAATGTCTCCCTCATCGCCTACACCAGCTTGCTAGGCCTCTCCTCGCCCCCTCCTCCTGCCTGGGGGCCTTTGTTTCCCCTTTCATCTAAAATTCTGGACTTCTCTCTCCTCAAACATGGCCATTTCTGTTTTGCCTCCCTGTGTGTCACACCTTCCTCACCTTCCCCCTCATCTCTTTGGGCAGCTGAGTCGGGAGCTTGCGGCAACAGGCCCGCACTGAGGGGCTCCTGTGGCCTGCAGCTTTTTTTCAGGGCCAGAAAGGACGTGAAAGCTTTTATCCCATTGTGAAACTTCTTTTCCTTCTTGAGAGTCTGAATCTTCAGTTATTTCACCTTTCTTTCTCTTCCAAGGAAGGATCTGCCATGGCAATCTTCTGGGTGCTCCTCTTGCTGATGGCAGCTGTTGACATCAACCAGCTGCTCTTCTACTCTGAAGCGAAGGGAATTGTTTGTGAGAAAGAAAGAAGGGAAGAAATCCTTCAGAAGCTGAAGGAGCAGGAGGCGAGCATTCGGCTGCTATACTCACGCTTGAAGAAGGAAATTGCAAACCTAGAAGCCAGGCAGGAGGCTGTGACAAAACCTGCATTAGTTCTGAAGAGACAGATCAGCCAGTGCATATGCAAAGTCCTTTCGTTGGCTGTCGAAGCTCTGGGGATAGCATTTGCAGGAGGTCATTTGTCAGCGCAGTGGAGAAGAAGACACTGACACAGTATTCCTGGCGAAAGCATGGAAAGGAGTGGCCTTCCCTGACAACACTCTAACTAGGGAAATTCACATCCACATGGACAGAACTCTAGCAAATCTTTGTTTAGTTACAAGGAGACTTGTTCCATTCCTTTGAAATTACATTGGTCCACTAACAAAAACTCTGTGCTTTAATATGTTAAGTTTCCTCTTTTTTGTATCAATTGTTATAAATCCTAGAGTTCAGTTAATGAAATAAAACAGATTAAAGCAAAGGAATAAACTTATCAGAATTGTTTGCTTGCAACCAAACAACTTCATTTCATCTTTTGACTCTGGCATTTTCCTTGCATTTTGCATTGCTGTTACGGGCCAAACCAAACACCATCAAAATAGAGACCACGTTTGCAAAACAATATTATGGATGTGCAACACAACTTTACTATGCTAAATGGATGGGAACTTCGAAGAAGATGGTTCAGAAAGAGGCTATAGATATTTTGACTGGAAAGCAGGGAAAAAGCAGTTTAGCACTGTTTCCTCCAGCAATAATGTAGAGTTGTTTGTTTAGAATGAAGTCTTCTACTGGCATCCAATGCTGGCAAGAAAGAGAAGAGTAAATAATAAAAAAAGCTTACATACGTTTAAAGCTGATGACTTAAACAACGATGACAAACATGAAGATTAAATCTCAAAACCATATAATTTTAGGAAGGAATTTTAGGAAATACTTTCTTCACTGATATCAATAGATTTTTCCCTTTGCAGTTAGGAAAGGATTTCACTCCTTGAATGTATTAATGGACATTTGAATACATAGTGAATTTCTTTGAACTTCCAGGGTTTGGACGGTGCACAGTAGTATGCAAGGAAACACTGCCCAGGGAAGGTGTAGATTCTACATCTGTTTAAACATAAGATGTTTAATAGGATTATTTCCAACTCTGATTTCTTTCCCTTCCATAATCAATGCTCTTCACAGAATTCATTTTTCCAGAACAAATACCATCATTGTATCAAGGTGGCCAGAATGGTGCAAGAACCACCACCCAACAGACAGAGGCACCCAGGCAAATCCCTTTTTTCCATGGGTCTGGACTGGCCACAGGTTCAGTAATATAATATGCCCTTCTCACAATGTTTTCTGAATAACACTTGTTTAAGGTTGTAAGCTTTGTGCTTAATTTCATGTGAGAAAGAGCAATGGAATATTTTTCTCTTTTTGCCCTACTTATCTATACAGAATTGATGAGTGGCTGTGCACAACCAGACCCTTATTTGCTGAATATTTTAAAACTTGTGTGGCTTTCCAGCCACAATAATGTTACTCAGAGCAAAAAAGACCAATTTAGCAGATACATGCAAGAAGAAATTTCAAAAGCTGAGCTCTACTCTTTGCTTTCCTACTAATATCCTGAGAAGTTTTATTGCCTCCTGCCATCCTTTTTTCCTGCTAAACTCTCTTCTCTGCTTAGCCTAAGTGACACTTCCTTGGTTTTGCACTGAGTATTGCACACAATGTTCTCATCCTGATTGGAGCTTCCAGATGCTACTGTAACACAATAGTGGAGAAAGGCAAAAAATCTAAAATTTTTCCAAGCAATCCTAAGAAGAGTTCTGAGGGCCAAATAGGAAAAGCAAAAAGGAAACTAATGGTTATTTTTACTACTGTAGAATTGCTTTTGAATAATGGACAACAGCTGAAGTGTGAAGAATGCCTGAACTGGAACACTCTCATTAAAATATAAAATCCAAAGCAATTGGATTCCAAGACCTGAAATAGCCAAGAGTTCAGGAGGGTCCTTCACAAGACTGAGTGAGGTGAAGAAACAAACACAGCCTGGTTTCCTGGCAAAAGTAAAGATAAGTGGGTTAGGAATCCCACAGATTGCTCCTTCCTGGGAAATAATTCATTAGTGAGGACTTTTCACCTCACTGCTGTTCACAGCAACTTGTAATATCAGGTGTAAAAGAGGAGCAAGGGAGGGAGCAAATCTGGCTGACATTGCCCAGGTGTCAATCTCCAGCTTCACAAGGGAGCAAGTGAAAAGAATTACAAACCCCTGAGGATAGAACCGAGTGGCTTTTACACAGACGCAGAGAATACTACAAATGATGACAAAAAGAAAAGAGAATAAGGATTCCTTCTTTTTCCCCCCTTCTTAATGAGTAGAATGAAACAGAATATCTATTTATCCCTCTTCATTTAGCAAAAGCAGGGTTTGGATCACTGTCAGTGTCTCTGGCACAAATCAGCTATCCATGATTCATAAAGGCATGCAGGCTCCACATTCTGGAGTGCATTAAAAACAGAACAATGATGTTTTCCAAAAAAAAAAAAAGTGTACATCATTCTGGTATCATTTCACACAAATAAGCCAATTATCCCTCCTTAATTATTTATTTAGCAATCAGAAATGCTTAGTGGCCATCAAAGAACCTGGAAGACAGCTAACAGAGCATAGAAGTGTAGTGAACACCATCGTTTTGTAATAATACATCCCAGGTTCAATGAATTGGCTTCTGGCACCAAATATGAATAAATGGATGTTTTATGGGAGTACAGTCTTTTGCATTAAAAAAAAAACAATAAAAGGATGAGCGGAACTAGGTTTTTGTCCTTTTATAGTCCCTTATGGCACCTTACAGCACATAAAGCAAATCAGATTTGAAAATATATCAGAAATGGAAGGAGGGAAATATTGCATCATATTAAGTCTGTTATTGTCATTAGCTTTAGCTAAAGGAATTTATTTCATACAAATTACTGTGAGATAGCAGAATTTCCTCACAAATGGAAAATACATGTGTGAAAAACACTCAAAGTTACTTATTCACCAAATATTCTCTTTTAGCTTCCCTTTTGCAGCCTATATTTTGAGCGTAAGAGCTTCGTGGGAAAGAAAGAAGTTCTGTGTTTGTCTGATTAAAAATCCTCTTCTACTGCCATCATGTAAACATCAAATAAGATAACTGATTTCACTGTATAGAGAAGCAAACAAAGTAGATCCCGTTTTCTATGAGGTTTCTATTCCTACTGTTATACAGAGTGTGAGGATAATTTTAGCTTTATTAAATGCTTTTCATCACTTCATAAAATTTTCACCTGCTCAACAGTTTTTCAAGCTTCAATTCTCAAGCAAGATGTACTTTTCTATACCTGTCACTCAAAAAATTCAGGCAGCGCTAACTTGGCCCACTGATTGCAAGCAAAAAGATGTGCAATTTAATCCACTTTTCACCTGATTCACCTCTTTCTGGAAGGACTTAAAAAATGTCGTGAAACCCAAATACTAAACTTAAAACATCTAACAGGCTTAACACTGTGTATTTTGGGCCATCTCTAACTTGGAGGGAAATGTGGTTTCTCTCTCTAGTATCCGTCTCCCTAAAATTTTATTTCACTAAATTCATTCTTAGACTGGACAATATCCAACTGAAAGAAAAGGAGCTGAACCTTCCTTCTGAATTCAGAAGACAAGATCCAATCATGCAATTCCTACCTGGGGAAAGATTCATCATTCCTCTTCAATATAATGCATAAATTTATAATTTGAATAGACACACTTCAAAAGGCACTGATAGGTACCTCTGTTCCTCAAACCAGACAAGACTCTGGCTGTGATTTCCTTCCTCTCTGTGTAGTGAAGGCAAAGACCACCCATTTTCAGTGGAGAGCAGAAAAGAAATACTAATGAAATTATTTAAGGCTGATCAAAAAAAAAAAAAAAAAAAAAAAAAAAAAAAAACTGAGAACTATAAAGAAAGCATGAGCAAAACAAAAGCAGTTCCCCACAGTTTCACACTTTAAAGACACATTGAATTCTCTGTGTAGGATGCATGGGTGGAGGGTAATCAATGCTACATGCTGCAAACTTACTTCAACTGGATCAATAAAAACATCATTAAACATCTTCTGCCTGTGTTTTGTCAGATGTGTACTGACAACCAAAGTTGTGTGCTTATGTTTTTTTCCCTTCTCACCTTTTTTTACACCACTGACATCTGACCTGAACTTGGAAGTCTTGAGGGCTTGAGATATTCCAGACTGCACTATTCAGGTCAAAGTCTCATAGTGAGGTTTTGAAGAGCAATATGGATAAAAATGTCATTCGTTCCATAAGACTGGAGAGAGATGAGACTATCCTCTTTCTCTACTCATGAAATATCACCTTGGTATCACAGCACCCTTGATCTGTTAAATATATGGTTGGATTTTGCACCAAGCATGAACTTACTGGAATTAGACTTTCCTGTACTTCACAGTTGCCTGGAATGATAGCTGGTGATAGGAGTGAAACCACGACAGGGCACATGCAAATGAAGCCATTATGTCAGTTGTATCCATATATACATAGCTGAAATCAAATACCATGATACTTCACAGAAAAAAGTGACTACCAGATGCATGAGACTGCAAATTACATACCAAAATGCTGCTTAATACGTCAGACCTATAAGTGGCTGGCTGTTTTCTGAGCAATTTTATTGCTTCTCTCTTTCTCTATCCCATTCTCCCCAACTCTCACTTTTTTTTTTAAGCAGATATGGTTTTTATGTATCAGATTTAATTTGCAGACCAAATTTAGGGAGCACATATATGCATACAGGTATACCTATGGGTTAATACCTGACCATGTATCTCCTCATTCAGATAATTAAGTTGTGTTTTGAACATAAATTGACTTCATATTTCATTTGCTAGATATTTGTTGTTCCAACATTTGTCTCATGCAATAAATTCAGCTGGAACAATTTGCCTATCAATACACATATCCATATTTACCCAGGAAAATATTAAGGCATTTATAATGAACTTGGGCTCAAGTCCCCACTTTGAGGGATATTCTTACAGATAGAAGCTCTCAGTGGAAGATCTTCCTCTGCTGGTTTCAAATTACTTAGTGGAACAAGTAAGAAACATCTTTCTGCAGAGTTAAAACAAATACATTTGCAATCATAACTACTTGAACAGAAGAATAATTTCTCAGCCAGCTGTACTCAGAAGTCCATTTAATTTGTTCTGCAGCTTCAGCTTTGGGAAAAACAAACACAATACCTTGATAACCAATCCTAGAAACCTTATTTCCTTTTTACTTAATTTGCAGACCTAATTCAGATATAATCTCCTTGCACAGGCATACAAAATTCATTCAGCTTTCTGACTTTGTATTTCCTGAAAAGCGAGAAGAGTT